CCAATGAATCAATAGTGTCTGCTAATCAAGTCTAATGTTTACAGACTCTCAAGTGTTCATTTTACTTTGAAAAATTTACATTTTATTTCAACTTTACTCCTTTGAACAAAGGACTTTCTTATTTACTTAAAAACATATATTTTATCTGCCTAGTTCATTAGTTCAGAATCCCCTCTCCTCCTCTCATATGTACTCAGTTGCTCTCCAATATATTGCAGCCAATTACTTTGAATTTTACCAAATAAATTCAAGTTTTTGGAAGCTCACATCCTCAAAATCATCCTCTTCACAAAATCATGTTGCTCTCATTGAGTTCAATGCCAAATCACTCTGTTCTTCTTGCATTATCCAGGCTACCCTCCCACCTTTCTACAATACTTTGTTTTGTAATTTTAGGTTCTCTTGTTGTCAAGCTATCTTAGTTGCAATTGGGCAACTATTTTAGTGTTTCTCTTAGCAGTCTTCTTCAGTCTCTACTGTTTCTGTTGTGCCTGTCATGCACCTGTCATCTCCTCCATCGATCTATCAGTCAGTCCACCCCTTGGTCTTTGTCCTCTGGTCTCCATTGCACTATTTTGCATCCATTTCCCCTGGCAATTCATCATTCTCTTAGCAATTCTATTCCCAGGTTGTCAGGAGTGAAGTGAGGCCACCTTGCATTTTATTTCTTTTATTTATAGGTATACAAGTTTATTCTAGGTTTATTATATATATTCCTACACTACAAGCCAGTGCCTAGGTCAACACCAAAAACACAGAGGGCATGGTGTGTTGTTAGTTCTGATGGATCAAAGTCAGAACTGTCAAGATTGCAAATGTCAGCTGTGAGGCTTAGCAGTTTGATTGCTCTTGGAACATCTTGGGCATCCTTAGGGCTGAGAAGAGCATGGATGTGCTCTGAAAGAGTATCTGCATCCAGATTCAGAAGTGCAAATATAGGGTTTTCAGACCAATCAACATGGGTTAATCTTTCAAACCACAGTGCAAGAAGGCTCTTGTTAATGACCACACAGTCAACAAGAATGCCTTCACAAGATGATAAGAGTTTACAGACCCCTAGTTATGCAAGATTAAGAACTTTAAATTTGAATGAAAACTTGGAAAGACATTGAATAACTTACTCTTAAAGATATGTTTGTAGTTAAGATCTTGAACCTCATTGTTTGGACCAGTATAGAGATTCAATCCATTGATGTCTAGTGATTCAAGAAACTGGAAAAGAGGATTTCCAGGAACAATTTGTTTGACCATACAATGCTGATAGAGTGCCAGGTGTCACTTAGGACAGCCATCTGACAACATGTCTATTAGCAGGCCATGTAATGCTTCACCATAAGGTGACAGTTTCCAAGCTTGTCATCTCAATAATGAGCACAGCATCATGGAATGTATTTTGTTTGCATGTTGCCATCAACATAACAGGTTTTGCACCATATCCAGTTTCATCATTTCATGAAAATGCAGCCACAAAGATCTCTTGGCCAATGTGAATCTTTTCCTCTTTGACTGCAGTGCATATAGCATGGGCAATAGTGATGTTTTTGCCCATCCTCAAAGATGGTATGTGGTATTTTGTATGTTCACAAAGGCCTGCAATCTCATCAGATTCAGTGAGGTAGCACAGTCTACCATCACTGGTGATTTCATCCATAGACAATGTGATGCCAACTTTCTTCATGCCTGGAGGAGCATAAGAGAACATAGTTTTGATGTTGTCAAGAATATTGATCATTTGAGGCTTATCCACTGTTATATGTAGTTGGAATTCTTGAATTTGATGGGTAATTGTATTGCAAGAAGGGAAAGCAAATACAGAATTATGGAGGGCATGAAGAGCTGCATTGCCACTAATGATATAGATAGCTGTGGCTAGTTTAAGTTCCATGTCATTGTAATTACATGGGGAGTACATTTGCTTGCAGGCAGCCTCCATCATTTCTAACAACTTTGCCAAACTCCAAGCCATGCTCTGCACATTCCTGAATAGTTGCAGTAGAGCTGGCACATTGTGGGTGCCAGCCAGCTTAAAGATGTTGTTGCATGTCTTCTGATGCACCTGGAGCCTGAGCAAGTTATCTGCAGCCTGATACGGGTATAAAATAGAGGAAACACTCAGTCAGATAGATCTCCGCTTGATATATGTCGGTAGTAATAGTACCTAGTGGAATAACATAAAGGTCATGCTATGAGAATAATCAGTTAGATAAAAATGAAAACAAGTATGTATGTTGTAACTGACCTCAATTAGATAAAACTTGATTGGGGTATTTCTGTGGTAACTAAGATTATTATATACTTATAGAAATTATAAAACGGGTAGCTACTACAAGTAGATACAGAAAATTTTTCATGTCTCCAAGCTGTAGATGTAAGTAATTTGTATATCATTTAAATAATAGGTGGGTCAGATAATAGGAAAATATAATGGGGGACTCGAGAGTGGACGATGCATCGGACAGTGTATATTTCCAACACCTGACGGCTGATACGTGATATTCTTATATCGCTTCTCATGTTAAAATTTTGATTTGACTGAGATTATATGGCCTTGTCTGGCCTATGCTACTGTACAACTCATATAATGTCATTCATGTGGCTCTGAAGGAAAAAGAACAACATTCCTTTGTTTTGAATTAATAACTGTTGCAGAAAGTCTGTTATATTCCACTCATTGTCTGTAAAAAAAAAACAAGGGAGTGTTGTAGTACTGTTAGCTGATGACTTATGAGTTATTAGGGGTGCATTCAGAGCGGCTTCACTGCTAACATATTCTGAAAACGCCTATATATTCAAGCCGCATCATACACATCTGTCTGAAACTGAACCGTGACGGGGATATTGACTACTGAAAGCTCTTAGAGAATACCGAGAATACCGCCGAGAAGACCACCGAGACCGAGAGTAGCGAAGATCAGCGTGAATCCAAGCCCGTTCAAGATGACTCCAACGTCAATCAATCTGTGATAGATAAACATACTTAGATTATGCTAATCCATGACCAGAATGTTAAGACTTACAAGACAGCAACGAGCTTGACAACACCAGCGAGCAGGATATCCAAACCGAGAAGAATCTTGTTGAGAGCCGCATCAATACCAAATTTGATGAACAGAGGCGCAAAGTGGGGCTTGTGCTTCTTGAAGTTGTTCAGGCTGACTGCGATGTTCTGCGAAACAAATGAGTTAGTTATAGTGCGAGTGTTGATTGACACATAAATATGTACATTGTAGACGGGAGCGACTGCGTTAGCGACATCCTGCTTCGATCCACCAGAGTTAGTGTTAACCTTGCCTTGAAGGTTGGTGAACGAGGTCGATGCGGTACCGAGGGCGGCGGAAAGCTGGGAGAGGAGAGCCGAAGCATCATCCTCAGTAGCAGAGTCGTCGGTGGAGAGCGCATCTAAAAAATGATTAGAACAGAACATTAAGGATGTATGGCTAAGGCGTACCGATCTGGGGAAGGATGGAGCCGGTGCTTCCCTGGAGGGTACTGACGACAGCAAGGATATCAGAAACGTCTTCACGTTTCTCGACGGTGACAGCAGTGGGGATGGCTGCGGCGGAGATGACACCGAGAGTGAGGAAAGAGAACAAAATGCGAGAAGCGATCATATTGAATGCGGTTAGATTGGTGAGAGAGGTTTGAAAGTCGAGAGGAGCTGCTAGTGTTGCTGCTTGACCGATAGACCTGTTTTCATCTCCCTTTTATACGTCTAGAGTCCAGTATTATTCGTCAAATCGTGAGTAGTTCTTGCGTCTTCATCCTAAATTTCTCGTCACTATCCAATGACGTTCATTTGGCAATTTCACCAACGTGTGGGAGAATAAATTGGTCACTTGGCAGTGTTGAATAGCACAAAGGAGGCATCGAAATGCCCGACGGTGGTAGTAGAACCTCGAGACTCGCCATTGATGCATATTCTGAGGACATATCAATTATTTAATAAGAAGAAGCACAGGTGTACGTTGAGCCTGCAGCGTTGCAAAGTAAAAAATAGATCGCTGATGTCATGAGAAAATTGAAAATGATACCAGGATTGGGCTGGGACTTGTTTATGACTCATTTAATATCGTTCGATTATGATAGCTGAAGCAGAACTTATGTCGCGGTTTTGTTTCAAAAATTATTTCGATAATATATTAAGAGTATTCAGAGGCACGCACTTGCTTTACAGCGTTTTCAACTGCAAGTGGAGGAAAATGGCGAATATCCGGCTCCGGAGCACGTTATGCATGATTTTGACATCGAAGCCGTAAATGACAATGACGAAAGCACTATTTTGACAGCTGCTCCAATAGTGATTGATCTGCCGGTCTCGAGTAGGAACAAGGCAGTGATTCTACGAACGTGAATGAGCGGAACCGCCGTTAGGTAGGATGAAAATTGACTGAAAGGAGAAAGATCTGCACTATGACTTCATCATAAAGTTGAAAATGATACGAGGATTTGGCTGGCGCCTTACGTGTTTATGAGTCATTTAATATCCTCCGATCATGATAACCGGAGAAAGACTTATCTTGATGTTTTCTTCCTCTCTTATTTCTTCTCCAGATCGCCGTCCAGCCATAGTCACGCACTCACCTGCCCAAGACGCCGTCAGTCAATCCGTCTTTGAAAAAGCGTAGAAGGAACACTCCACACCAAAGGGGGCAGAAGATCGTTACAGAGATCTGGGACATTGATATCTGGTGGAATGCCGAGGACTACCAACAAGGGTACCTATTTAAGTTCTCAATTGAAGAGGTACCAGTTTCCGACGCACTGGGTGCATTTGTGATGGCTTAACCTGGAAGACGCTGCGTCGGTGGTGAATGGATATGTATTTATGTATTGGTAGCTGTTACGCTGAATTAAAAAGAAATAACGGACTCACTTTGTGCACCGATGAGTGTAGCAGTTGAAACCTGAAGCTCGATCATGTAATTGCACAGTGCAAAAAAAGTTCAGCCTAACTATTTCTCCTTCGGATATAAATGAAAATGAAAGCAAGCAATACTTCACGACGCCAGCAGGATTTGAACCTGCGCCCTCAAAGAGGAACAGATGGAATGAGAAGCCATAATGCAAATTCTAATCTGTCGCCGTAACCACTTGGCTATAGCGCCTATACCCTTACCCAGGGCGTCTGATCCAACATCGGTCACCCTCTGAGCCTGAGGCAGAGAAATCCAGAAGAAGCAGGGTGGAAAGAGATGAAAGGACGACAGATGGGAGAGTATGTCAGAGGTAGAACGTGTCCGTGCACATGGCTCATTTGACAATATCACTGGATAAATAGACGATCCGGGGACGGTGGTGTACTAGCCAATAGACAGACACGCCATGTATAGCAAGCATGGCGCAAAACAAAAAAAGAATTCGGCGTAAACATATCTCCTTCGGATACAAGTAAAAAATGACAGCAGAATTCAAGATCGACGCCAGCAGGATTTGAACCTGCGCCCTCAAAGAGGAACAGATAAATCTATCATCTCGCAGCATTCTAATCTGTCGCCGTAACCACTTGGCTATAGCGCCGACACCCTTACGTAGTACCTGTCTCTCACTCGTCGCTCGGCGGATAAATACAAGAGAAAGCAGGTCGGAAGATAGTGAGGGGAGAGTCGGAGGTAGAACTATATCGCCACATGATTGGATGCTGAGACCATGGTGTCCTTGCGAACAGACAGACAGAGAGACAGCCAAGAAGATCTTTCATGAATGTAGCCATTTTCTCCTTCGGATACAAGTAAAAAATGACAGCAGAATCCAAATCGACGCCAGCAGGATTTGAACCTGCGCCCTCAAAGAGGAACAGATGAAACGTACTGTGAGCCAGATGATTCTAATCTGTCGCCGTAACCACTTGGCTATAGCGCCGATACCTTTGCCAAGGGCGTGCGAATTCACATCCGTCTCTCTGTCGCTCGAGGCAGAGAAAATAAGAGAAAGCAGGGCGGAAAGGGATGAAAGGACGACATTGAGGAGAGAGAGCCGGAGGTAGAACGGGTTTGAGCGCATGATTCCTTTAACGATATCGTCGGATGAATGGATGGTAGGATGTTCAATGTTGGGACGGTGGCGTCCTTGCGGATAGACAGACGAACGGATGGTAGGATGTTGGGACGGTGGCGTCCTCGAGAACAGAAGGACAGCCAAGAAGAGTTAGCATGGACGCACGCATACTTAGTTCGTTTGTCAATATCACTAGATGAGAGGATGGTGGGATGGTGGGATGATGGCGTCTCGAGTGGCCAATAGACTTTCAGTGGGTGACAAGATCTATGCACGGATGACTGAGGGAAGGGTTGTTGGGATTTAGACGGGGGACGAAGAAACATCACTTCAGCCATCTATGTGGAGAGCGATGGGGATTCGGTTATCGTTGAAGTTATCGTTGAATCATCAAGTGCTTCTTCGTAGGTAGGCCCAGAGAGTTCTGTACGGTTGGGTGATGCATGCGAAGACGAAGACCTGTCCTTTTTGAGAACTGCCTTCATTCCAGAGTGTACAAAAGTCGTTAAAGAGATCATATATGCACGAGAAGATTTAAATCCTGCTCATCGTTGCGGTGCCGTCCAGACCTGACCACTTCGCGTACGACTTGGAGCCTAGAGCCTCGAGTATCGCGCTACACACTGAGACTCTGCTTGGGCATCTCCGTCGTGTAGAGCATGGCCTGGAGAATACACCGAAGATAAGATATTGTTCCTCGTTGACGTTGGACAGAGAACCAAAAATACAATGTCAGCAAGGCACGAGGTCGTGTGACATGGAAGCTGCTTCCCATTTAATTTCCATCTGCATCCCCACCCTTGGTATTTTTAGATAAAGCTTCGGAGACATCCCAACCGACCAATCGGAATCCTCGCCGGGGACGAGCCGACGCACGTTCGTTCCGTGCGGAGTATGAGAGGTTGATATTTATAGCGAGAAGTCAACTGAGTGAAAGAGATGGACGGGTGGACGAGATATTCGGTCAGTCGGCATTGCGTTTTGAATCGGCTTTGAACCATTCGCTGTTGAAAGTGGGGGGGTTGTGAGGGGCAGAGGAGGGTGACGTAGGAGGAGTTGGAGTTGCGAGTGAAGGAACGTTGGTCGGCATCGTCGAACAGAAAATCATCCAGCATCTTCAACGTCCTCATCCCCATCCTCGTCGAAATGATTTACGGACCGCACCTTCAGTCAACCCACACGACAACGAAGGGCTGGGCAGGTCACCCGATCGTGCCCAGGCCCGCAAGAGGTAGATTAGATATCTTTTTCTGGGGACCCGCTTCCAAAAGAAGCCGGCCGATCAAGGCGCCTAAAAAGGAGAGGGGATTTAGTGGCACACGAGCACAAATTGTTTCTTCCTTCCTCGCGTTAGGAAGATTTCCTCCTCGCCTCTACTCTGCTTCCGGTTTTTCTCCCTAATTCATCCTCAGGCCGCCTCCCATATATCTTTCCTTGTTCTGTCTCACTTCTCTTGCTTCATCTCCGTGTACCACTCAGGGTCTCAGTAGCTCTCTCGCTAACAGCAGAGAATAGAGCAGAGCTCCACGATTACAGCGATTACGCCAGTGGAGTCGTAGACTGTAGTTGACAAGGAAACGTGCGTTGAGTCCCATCTTCGTCTTTCTTCATTTCCATCGTTGTGGCATCGGCATTGCTTTTCTTAGACTGTTTTAGAGTCGGGCTTCGTTGGTCTCACTACTTACTTACTCTTCCTTTCTGTCTCTAGTCACATCTCTTCCTCCAACTCACCTCTCGCCGCAATGGCCTCCTCTTCTCCCAACCCGATATCAAAATCTAAATCAAATGAATCCTCATCCCCCAACAACAATCTCGCCCAAGCACCCACCACCAAAGCCAAAACACCCTCGCACTACCGCTCTCACCTCTCCGACTTTGAGCGATCCGACCGCCCCGCATTCGTCCTTACCTTCACTGAGGTGAAGCTCCTGGGCATAGCGGGTGTGGGCTTTTTCTTGGACGCATATGATTTGTTTATTATCAATGTGAGTGTCGTGGCCGCCTTGTCTTTATCCGTTCCCCTCCTTCCTTTACCCACGTTCTTCTGCTCCGCCTCCTTCTCTTCCTCATACCCTCTCCCTTTTCCATCTACTCCATCGTTTCCTTTACATGACTCACTCACTCACCTCGTCCCATCCTAGCCCGTAGCCACCATGCTCCAATACCGGCTCTACGGCGGTGGTCCCCTCCCCGCCAACCTTGAGGGTTTCGTCAAGGCAGGTGCTAACATTGGGAGTGTCATTGGCCAGTTTGCGTTTGGTGAGTCAGTATTTTTGGTTTCGGTTTCGGTGTTGTTGGCCTTCCTTTGCGTTCTGCGTTCTGTTATTGCTGTTTCTTGGCGGGATTCACTTGTACGAGTGTTGTTCGTCGCGATGGGTAGTGCAAAGATGAGGTTGCGTCTGCGATGCGCCATTGTTCGCCCGACGTCATCGCTCCTCCCGACGAATTAGCGGCACACGACCACTAATTTCAGGCACTTTTGTTGGGCATCCCCGTCCCGTGCAATTAATGGCACACGAGCTTTCATTCCAGCTCATCTTGGCTGGGGCTTGGTCGCAACTTTTGTGTCCTTGTCGATCGTCGTTAAGATCGCCAGGAAATTCGTTGTGGTCGTCGTCCAATGAGACTTTGACGACGTGCTTGTGGCTGTGCCCACCCCCTCACTTCGAGTCTGCCCTGAAATTCACACGACCCTCCTCTTCCTCCCACCACCACTGCACCGTCCATGAACATCCTACTAATGTTCCCCCCTCTACTCTACAGGCTACGCCGCAGATGCCCTCGGTCGTAAAGCCGTCTGTGAGTCCTTCCCAACCCATCTTCTCTGCCTCTTTTCTCATCCCCTTCCTTAGACGGCAAAGAGCTGATGCTCATAATATTCGCCACAATCATGACACTCACCACCCCCACCGGGTCCCTCTCCCCCAACGCATGCCTCATCTACCTGGGTATCTTCCGCATCCTCCTCGGGGTCGGCGTGGGCGGGGATTATCCCATGAGCGCTAGCATAACGAGTGACCGAGCGAATTTGAGGAAGCGGGGGACTGTAAGTTTCATTTTTGTTTTCGCTTCTTAAATGGTGATGCGTTGAGAGTTATGGGACGCTCGCTGACGTTTCGACTCTGACAGATGCTCGCATACATCTTCTCGAACCAAGGATGGGGTTCGTTTGTGGGTAGTTTGGCTACTATCGTCGTTTTGGCGTGTTACAAGAACGTGATGGAGGCCGGGAAGACTAGTCGTGTTGATGGAGGTGCTTTTTTTTTCTTGCTCTTTCTAAAACATACCACTGACTGCCCCGTCCCCCCTCCCCACCTCTTCCAGTCTGGCGCATAATAATCGGCCTCTCGCTCATCCCCGCCTTCGGCACGCTCTACCAGCGGCTTACCCTCCCCGAATCGACGCGCTTCATCGCCTCGCAGAAGATCAATCAGCATCACGAGGCGGGGGGAAGTGGGGAGTTTGCGATGGATGATATTGAGGAGCTGAAGAAGGCGCAGAGGGAGGAGGATGTGCGGATGGGGAATGTACCAAAGGCAACGGCAACGGATGAAGGCAGAAGACGGAGTACGGAGGAGAAGGAGCCAGTCAGTGAGACGACCTCTGAGAGCGATGAGAAGAAGGGGGATGTGCTTATCAAGGAGGAGCCGAACACTCCTTCAGCGTCGACGAGCGACGATGAGGCAGAGGAGGATGCGGAGGCGCTGGAGCCGGAGAAGTTGGTTGAGAAGAAGGCGCATTTCAAAGGTGAGTTTTCACTTGCTATATTTGGGTTGGAAGTGGAGGAGGAAGAACTAACGCTGATGCGTTACGCTAACAGAATTCATCACCTACTTTTCGGAATGGCGTCACGCGAAGCTGCTCATCGGGACGTGTATGTGTTGGTTCTTGCTTGACATTGCGTGAGTTCCCCCTACTTCTTTCTCTCTCTTTCTCCGTGTATAGGATTGCTGACGCTTGTCCATGTAGATTCTACGGCATCAACTTGAATCAGAACGTCGTGCTGGAGCAGATGGGCTTCGCCGGCAAGGAAGGAACCCCGTGGGAACGTCTTTTCAAGGTGTCCACCGGTAACATTATCGTCACTGCATTGGGTTTCGTCCCTGGTACGTTTTTCCTCTTCTCCTGTTCCCCTCCACTCTCTTTATCACGCCGCTAACGCTGCTCCAATCCACAGGATACTACGCCACCATCCTCACAATCGAAATCCTCGGACGCAAATGGATCCAAATCCAAGGTTTCCTCCTCGCCGCGCTCTTCCTCGCCATCCTCGCTGCGAGGTTCAACGAACTGGGCACGGTGTCCTTCATTGTGTGCTTCGCCTTTTTGCAGTTCTTCTTCAACTTTGGGGCGAATGCCACGACGTATTGTTATCCTGCTGAGGGTACGTTCCTTCTGCTATCCATAAAAAAGAGAGAAAGACTGATGATAATGCTGGCGATGTGTGTACGTAGTCTTCCCAACCCGCTTCCGCGCCTCCGCACATGGAATCTCAGCTGCGTCTGGGAAAGCAGGCGCTATCATCTCTGCGCTTGCGTTCAACACCTTGAGTAAGAGTATTGGTACACCTGCGATTCTCTGGAGTGCGTTTTTCCCTTCCTCTTCCATCCCAAAGTATAGTCCCTGACGAAATTGATACGAATGTTTAGTCTTCTTTGGATGCTGTATCGCCGGCGCTGGATTCACGCTTCTCCTCCCCGAGGTAAAGGGCCGCGACCCGGATGTTATTCTCGCTGAGGAGATCAAAGCTGCACGTGCGGAGAGGGCGGCGAGGGAGGCTGCTGAGAGGAAGTCCTGAAGACTCTCTACCTTATTTGGATCTCGTGAGCCTTGGAATGGAAGTGGCCGGCAATGGATGGGTATCT